CGTGGAGTCGGTGGTGGTGAAAACCGCATCCTGAAAACTGACCTGTCTCCGAGCCCCTTAGCTTCCTCATACTCTGTGTCCACAGCTTTCAGGTGAGGAAGACAATCGTCACCGCCACCGCAACAGGGCGAGGGGGTTGCCAAACAGAAAAGTAGTAGCGCAAGAGCTTCGAAGGCCCCCTCCGTCTGTGTGCATCCACCAGACATTGAGGTCTCTAGTCCCGTAGGTTGAACCCGGCCTTTATAGCTCTTGACGACGAGCACGCCTCAGGCCAAGACCCTCACCTGCCTTGCCTCCTCACCCTCTGCCCTACCCCACGCGGCACAATCCTGGTCTCCAAACCTTAGGTTCCACTCACCTTTCTCTTTCTTCTCTCCTTCAGAGCTAAGTTTGCTTGTTTGCTTCTGAGAGACAGACAGAGAGCACAAGCAGGGGAAGGGGCAGACTCCCCGAAGAGTGGAGGCCCCACGCGGGGCTCCATCCCAGGACCCCGAGGTCATGACCCAAGCAGAAGTCAGATGCTTAACCGACTGAGCTGCCCGGGCGCCCATTTCCCAGCTCAGCTTCTTGAAACAAGAAGCCACATGCACCACCGCCGAAATTACTCTTGCCAAGATCCACCAGTTGAGCCACTAGAGTGGGTCCGTGTCACCTCTCGCGAGCCAGCTGGAGGTCTCTCTTCCCAACTCCACGTTCAGTGACGTCATGTTGTTCTCCAGGATTTTTTTTTGTTTAAATTCGATTTGCTAATATATAGAATAATGCCCAGTGCTCATCTCATCCTGTGATGATGGTCCCCTTTTGCTATACAAGCTTCACAGGAGACATCTTTCATTCCCATCGTTTCAACAATTCCAAAACCAAAAGCTGCATCCTTGGCTCCTCCCTGGCCCTCACTTCCCCATAGCCATCCAACATCAGGGGCTGCTGATTTTATCTTCCAAATAGCCCTCCTCCTCTCCCCTCTCCTCTCCTCTTGCCGGCCAATACATGGTCCAAGCCACTGCTGTCTCCAGCCTGGACCACTGCAGTGGCTTCCTACCCGCTCCGTTCCTGGCCACTACTGTCCTCCACATCATTCTCTACATTTCAGCCACAGTGACTTTTCACACTACAAAACTGATTAAAATACTTCTTGTCCCAACAATTCAGTGGCTCTCTGTCGCTCTTAGTAGAAGATCTCAATCTGCAGCATGACTTGGGGACCCTGCAGGGTCTGGCATTTGGCCTCTGGTGTCATCTAAGAGCCATCTCTCCTGTACTCTGGCCACTACTGGCTTCCAATGCACAGTGTTCCTTCTAGAAGCAAACTTTTGTACATGCTGTTCCCGCTGCCTAGAAACTTGCTCCTCTTTCAACTCTTACTCCTTATTTATTTTTTTTAAAGATTGTATTTATTTATTCATGAGAGAGGCAGGGACACAGGCAGAGGGAGAAGCAGGCTTCCTGCAGGGAGCCCGATGTGGGACTCGATCCCGGGACTCCAGGATCACACCCCGAACCAAAGGCAGACACTTAACCGCTGAGCCACCCAGGTGTCCTATGTTTATTTTAAAAATTTTATTTATTTATTCATGACAGATAGAGAGGCAGAGACACAGGCAGAGGGAGAAGCAGGCTTCCTGCAGGGAGCCCGATGCAGGACTCAATCCGGGGGACCCCGGGATCATGACCTGAGCCAAAGGCAGATGCTCAACCACTGAGCCACCCAGGTGCCCCTCTTACTCCTTGTTTAGATCTCATTCAAAAGGTACTTCCTCAAGGCTGACTTCCCTTGAACTTTCAGACTAGCTTAGGACCCCCACCCCTGTGCCACTACATGTCCCCATAGCACCCCTTCTTCACAGCACTTATTGCAATTGTAATTGCTTAGCTCTTTGTGTTCCCCGCTAGGTCATAAGCACCAGGGACAATGTGTTTTGCCCACTCTTGTATTCCCAGCACCTAGCTCAAATATGTTTTGAAGTAATGAAACATGACTTTCGGCTTCAGACCTGAAGTTAGTCCCCTCTTCCAAACTTCTGGTCCACATATCTAGTCTTCTGCTGGTGACTCCATCCTTCCAATGGCTCAGGCCCAGAACTTGGGAGTCATCTCTGACTCCTCTGTTTTTCTTACCTCCCGGGACCGAAACCACTCGCAAATCCTTTCAGATCTACCTTCAAAGTACATCCAATATGTCAGTGAGACAGTAGATGCCTCCTGATGGATGAACATAACCTAACTTAGGAAGCGGTCTTGCTAATTACCAGGCTGTGGAAACTCTTCAGGATAAACAACATAATTTCTTCAAAAATATATCGCAAGGGGGGAAACAAAGAAAGCCTCTTCACTGACCTGCAGTCTCTTTGCTGCATTGCAGTGAGAGTCAGCATTTAAACACATTAGATCATTTCCTGTCTGTGGGAGCCTTCCCGTGGCCTCTCATGTTGCTTGGACCTTCTGGGACCTGTCTCTGACTTTCTGTCCTAGCACTCAGCTGCTCCTCTGCTCCCCCATCCTCTGTCAGCATCAGAAGTACAGATTCTCTGGCAAGGCCCATGAGGTCCTGCTGATGTGTCCTCTGTGTGCCTCTCCTGGCTCACCACCCAAACCCCAGGTTTGCGGAGCAATCTGCCCTCACCCATGCTCGCTCCTCTGTTTTAGCCACCCCTACCCAGGCCTGCTCCCACCGGGGAGCCCAGGCTCCCTCAGCCCTCGCTCTGTGCCATCCTTCTCATAACCTGACACAATCCAATCTGCTTCTGAGCTCCTAGGAGCTCAGAGTTTTGTTTTGTAATCATCCCTTGCCTCATCAGTCTCCTTCCTCAGATCCAGCTCCCCAAAGGTGCAGGTTACCTCTTACGTCTCTAGTGCCCTGGCCACATCTCCTGAGACTCAAAATCAAACATATTTTGAATGAATTAAAATTCTACATAAATAAGCATTGTTAGGTCTTTTAAGTCTCTGTACAGCAGTTTTGTTTAATAGGAATAATATCCTTACCCCTATTATTACATAGAAGTCATAACTTTTAAAATTATTGGGAAAAAAAGTGCTCTTGATTTTCAGCAAAACTTTTTTTGGGGAAAAAAAGGTTTTTATCTATTTGAGAGAGAGAGAGAATGAGGAGAGAGAAGCAGAGACAGAGGGAGAAGCAGACTCCCCACTGAGTGGTGAGCCCCGAAGCAATGTGGGGCTTGATCCCAGGACCTGGGATCATAACCTGAGTCAAAGGCAGATGTTTAATTGACCTAGCCAGCCAGGCGCCCTTCAGCAAAAGATTCTAAATAAATAGAACTGAGATCTTACATGTCAAGAATGAAATAGTAATTTAAGAAATATTTAAAAGTGTAATCATAATTTTTATATTCAGTTCTTCCATTAGTTGTCTAAATTTGGAGTTTCCTTTTAAAAATTGCACAGGAAGCCAACTTGCCAGTTCACTGACCACCTCACTTGAAGACTCATCATCTAGGGGTGCATTCTGGAGAGGGAAGGTGGGGTTCCTCTCTCCAGAAGGGAGTCCATAGCCCATCAGGATTTGGGGAAGAGGAAGGTGAAGAGTCCTCAAGTATGGAGGAAACTGCCTCTGCAAAGAGCATCTGATGGAGACACAGCGCATGGAACCAAATCAATGGATAGGTTACGAGAAAAGAGGGCGGTGAGCAACAGGAATAAAAGGACCCAAAGTAATTAATATAGTATGTACAAATAGGATTGCCTTGCATGATTCGTTTTGGTGCTTTTAATCCAGTTACTTTCTCAATTGCTACAAATTCCTTCAATGTTTAATCTGTTTTGCTAGTGAAATGAAGTTAGTTTCAACAGACAGCAGTTACCAAATTTCTGGTTGGGGTTGATTTGGATTATCCTTCAAATACAAAACTGATGCTACTGGCCAGCCACGGGTAGGACTGGAAATCCGAGGTATTTTCCCTGTGTCGGTGATGGATTGTGCTGTCTGAGCCACTGGCACTCCCTTTCACGTTACCTACTGTGACTAACTGCATGCATTTGAAGATAATAACTTAAGGTTAGGACTATAGTCTGTGATGATGGAACACATTTTTTTCTTTACGTGAAAAATTACTCATTTATAGTAGCATTAAATGATGATTTTACTCCAAATTTTTTATTTAAAGAGTGCACAGGTTTAAAAAAAAAAGGTTTTATAGGGCAATATCCCAACATCTTAAGAGGAGCCAATGCCCAAAATGTTGCAGTGTCAATAAAAAAAAGGAGTGGTGTGTCGGGGAGAGCTGAGACCAATACAGCCTCCTGAAAGCCATCACTGCAACGGCTGTCCTCCTTGAGTGGCGTTCATTCCTCACCTCGTGCCTCTTTTCCTCACTCTCTGCTTGGTTTACATTAAGCATTTTTCTCTAAGGTGTTTTGTTTTGTTTTAAAGATTTTATTTATTCATGAGGGACACACAGAGAGGCAGAGACACAGGCAGAGGGAGAAGCAGGCTCCATACAGGGAGCCCAATGTGGGGCTCGATCCTGGGACTCCAGGATCACTCCCTGGACCCAAGACAGATGCTCAACCACTGAGCCACCCAGGCGCCTCTCTAAGGTGTTGAGAAGAAACAAAAACATGGGCTTTGAAGTCAGGAAGCCCTGGGTGAGAATCCTGACTCTGGCTGTGGGATCTTCTCAAAGTCACTATCAAGTGTGGATGATGAAGTCGACTTGCAGGGGCGTCAGGAAAGACCTAAATGAAACGGCCCACGGGAAGAATGATGCCACTTCCAGGGCTCTCTGGTTCATCACAAGGTCAGGCCTATCCTAAGCACTACATGACAAGGAGACTTACCCACCTCTCTCATTCTGCTTTGTTTCTTTTTAAATGTGTATTTTGTTTGAGTCCTAAGCATGTAAGTAGGTATCATGGAAGGTAACCAAGTCAGGAAACGGAAATATATGAAGCAAATAGAACCTGTGGAATAAGGCTGTGACCCACAAAAAGGAGACTGCTGCTTGGCTGCACACGGGAATTAAGTGAAACATGTAAGAGACTTAACATAGGAATAAGCTATTTTAATCAAGCAAAACCAAATTTGTATTCGTTATTTCTAAAAATAAAATTAGGCTTTTCCAACCCTTAACATCTGCATTTAATAATATCTTCTAACTGAAATACAGATGCTAGAACGGCAAATTACAATGTACCTTGTACGGCATACAGTATGTTCACTGCGCACACCTACTGTGGTTCTAGTTGGTCGTTAAGTACTCAACGCAAACTTCAACGTCACTCATGGTAAAGTCTTCACAATGAACAGAAAAAGGTGATGAGGCTGTCTTAAAACGGCTCTGCTATAAATTGTATAGAATATACAGAGTTACAAAGTCAAGTATTTTTTTTATCAAAATATACACCCCTCCCTGAAACTAACACAAGCTATCAACATTTTAAACGGATAATACAATTATAGAAAATATCTGCAAAATTATTTTTTCATGTATAAATATTCTGCCATATTTACTTTGGTCTAGAATCATCAGCATACAAGTCCACTTAAAAAATTCCCACATGTGAGGGCTGGGAGACGTCACTACGGGTGATCGTTTTATAGAGTTACCTCAAATCAAAATGACTGAAATACACAGTAATTCTCTCTGATTAACGATCCTAATTGAAAGAAGACAGATTAGTAGATCACAGAATTGCCTATTCAATATTGTAATTATCAATTCAGAAAGGATTTTCATAAGCCCTTTGTGACTATCTCTTTTTTTTTTTTTTAACAAGAACCCAGGTGAGCAGGGCAGGTATACATATATACAACGTATAAAGTAAGGTTGGATTTGCTTGTGTTTTCCCATTTTCCTCGATTATATAATACTGTATGTAAGTGAAAGTAGATGAACGAAAGCTAGATGCAGATGCAGTACTGGGGTTACGTAACAGCAAAATACTACTGTATAAAAAGGTCAGCTTTGATCATGTCCTTCTCTGGGTGTTTAAATGCCTTCTTGCCCACCCAAATCCACATGAAGTCTTCTTCATGGAGATATCACAATACTTGGAGAGAGGAACTGGAGTCCTTTGAACTACTTCTTCATAATGGTGACCTTGCAACTTTGGGTAACCTTGGGCTTCCATCTATCAAATCCCATGAACAGGAGTGGCTGTAGGTCACCCTTAAACCAGGTTCCAGATTCTGCTCACACTGCTGATCAAAGGGTAGGAATGTTTTCTCTCTCCCTCCTATCCTGGCAGTTTAAACATAAGAATGATGAGTTCCAGTTTCCCAGAACCTAGTCCACGTGATGGAATGTCCTACTGGGCAACTGGACTTTGAGGCCAATGCTTGATGGTGTGGGTCAGTATAAAAAAAAAACATGAAAAAACTTAAGTGGGTTTTTAGCAAGGGAGCTAGATGTCTGCAAACATGAAGACGAGGCATCTGGCTTTGGGGAGATGTATCTGGGTCCTGTAAGTGATGCAATCTTATCACTCCACATTCCATCTCCACACCCCACCCCCCAAAAACAAAGCTACCACTGGAGGCAAGGAAGGTCACTACTTCCTCTTGCCCACTCAAGTTATTAATGGGTGAGGTGGGAGGTATCTTTCTGATATCCTTTTGGTTTATACTAATGTACACTTGTGGGCTGCATAATCTCCAAGAAGGCTAATGATTACAGGGATTAGGCTGTCACTTTCCAGAGGCTGGGAATTCACCACCATACGCATGCTTGCACTAAATTTCCTAGACACTCCCTCAGTGGAATTGGGAGTTGTCAGGTTTTACTTAAACCCTTGAGGCTAAGTCTGTCCGAAACAGACTTCCACATCCATGGCCTTGTGATGGATGGAAGACTGCAGGGGGTTTCAGAAGAATTTGACCCTTCTTTGTTATCTGAGGTGAGGCCACTGCAAAGTAATATACAGCACAGGTCATCACAGGAAAGTTCTGGGAGGGCTCTCCCCCATAGATAAGGCATGACCTATGTTTTCTGTGACTGGAGTAGACCAGTTCTAGTATAGCTCAGCCATAACTTCAAGGGAACAGCATTCCATCTAAAAGCACACAACATGCTCTTAAACCAGATTCAAGATGCTTTCTACTGATTTTTCCATCAGTCCTCACTATTTGCAGATCTATTGCTCATCAATTATAATTCTCTACAGGGGACGTGGACAGTTAAAAGTCATAGTGGTTTACATATGTATTTTACAAGGTTTGTGTTGCAGAAAAAGTAGTTCTAGATAATGAATGTCCTACTTAGGTTACTTAATTTCACACATATTTTCAGCTATAATATTAAATATTTCATATATATCCACTAATTTAAACAATCTTTAATAGTGCAGAAGCTGGATGGGAAAAATGACCGTCAGAGCTCATTTACCCTCTAACATATTTACGAAGATGATGTTTTCATGATATCTGACCCTCGTTTTCTCCAGTGACTAAAGACAGCTCAGCAGCCAGTTCCTATCAGCACTTACTAGAAAGTTTTAAATTAGGCTAACGTTCGACTTTTTTTTTTTTCCCCCACTGGCAGAAATACCACAGCTAAGAACTTCATAAACTTCCACAAGATACTTGGGATACTGGAGGATTCAGCTATTTCATTTTTGTGCACTTTGCATGAAGTTAATGCTAAAACCCAAAGTAGATACTAGGATCCTTTTTCTGGAATTTTCACAAAAGAGATTTTCTTTTACATTTCACTCCTTCATCACTGCTGTGTGAACAAAACTAACTTAAAAACAACAAGAGAAAACAGCTAACTAAAAAAAACAAAAACAAAAACAAAAACAAAAAAACACAAAAAAACAAAACCAAAACAACAAACCGGCCAACTTATATTTTTGAAGATTTTTCTATGTATCGCCACTCAAAGGACATTTTCAACAATGGTTTGTATGTTATCCTTTTGGTCACTGTCTTCCGAGTCATTAACATGTGCGTTCTCCAGGGGGTTTGAGTTTTCCTGGCACATGTCACCTTCTACTTTCTCCCGCTGACTTGGACTTTTGAACAAGTGTTTCTTCTGGTGCATTCCAAGGGCAGCGGCTGTTTTGCAAATTTTGGGGCACTGGAAGCAGGCGTAGCCCTTCCCATCATGCTCCCAAATGTGCCTCTGCTCATGATTCCTTTTTGTGGAAAGGTACAAAAAACTCTGAAAGCAGAACTGACAGTGGTAACGCTTTTCGCCGGTGTGGATCCTCTCATGGATTTTGAGGGTCTCGTTCAAGGTGAACGCCTTGTTGCAGTACTGACAGATGAACTCCTTCACGCCCAGGTGGATGCGTTCGTGTTTCTGCAAGTTGCCCTGCACCGAAAAGCGCCGCCCGCAGGTTTTGCACGGGTAGGGCTTCTCCCCGGTATGGCACCTCATGTGCATCTTGAGGGTGGAAGGGCTCTGGAACTGCTTGGCGCAGAGCTCGCAGGCGTAAGGCCTGGCGGTGAGGTGCCGGTGGGGCCTTCCTTGGCTGCCAGCCCCCGAGGCTTTGTCCCCATCACAGAGTTCACACTGCAACTTGGGCATCTCCTTGTTTTCTTCTTCCTCAAAGGCCTTCTCCTGCGGGGCCTTGGCCACGGCACGGTCCGGTTCTGCCGGGTATCTGCACTGAGTGCTTGGGCTCCTGTTCTCGTGTTCCTTCTTCCAGTTGACTTTCCTCATTTTTCTCAGCTGTCTGGACTTCTTTTTGGGTTTGTAGTTGTAGTAAGGACGCCACGGCTTGTCCGTGGAATCCTGGTCACTGGCATCATCGAACATTTCATTCATTTCCACACACTCGGACTGGCAGAGCCCAAGCGGGCTGTCTCTGTTGGTTTCTGGGTCGCTCTCTTGGGGCAAAGCCTCCTCCTCCATCTGATACTTGGGTCTTCTTCCTCTTTTGTAGAACAGCTTAGATCCCAGGATATGCCTTTTCACGATGGCTTCGTTGCCGATTTTTACGGTTATTTGGCAGAGGGGCGCGACGTTGCTATTCGTGGAGGTTCCAGGCAGAGCGGGCTTTGCAATGTAAGTCTCAATTTTACTGGTTTCTTTCATGCTTGTGGTTTTGCTCAACGACCCTCCGGGATCAGCACTGTACTTTGGCTCCTCGGCTACTTCTGCCTTGTTACACGGCACGGTTTTCTTTTTCTCCTTAACGCTTTTGGGTCGGCTGACAGCTCTGCCGGCTTTATCGGGCTCGAGTCTGCGGTCATCCTTCAGGGCCTGGCTGGCAGCTGGGTCCGCGGGGGCTCTGTGGCTGCTGCTGCTCATGGCAGCAACGGCGTTGCTGTGCATGATCACTGATGAGAACTGGCTACTGTGCACGATGACCGACGGAGCCGAGCCGCTGTAGCTGATCACAGAGGCCGCGTTCTCACTGCTGTTACTCAGAGATGAAATAGGCCCGTCCCCTACCGGCAGGTTGGAGCTCACCGCGTTTTCAGTGGAAGAAACGGACACCTCCGTGGAATAAAAGTTATTGTCCAGATCAACTTTCAGTGCCTCCTCTCCCCATTTGGTCCCCTCTGTGCTCTGTGCATTGGCAGAAGCCGGGACCTCCTGACGTACAGATGTTTCCAAGGGGACGGCCGGACCGTGGGTCAAGGTGTTGATGCGGTCTTGGAAACTCAAGGTCGGTAACTCGGAGCTGTGTGTGTTCTGAATCACATAGGGACCAGGTGCAGACTCGTTCATCTGACTGTTTTCCCGGGCATTTTCATAGGAAGAGTTTCGGTAGCTTTTATAAGGAGCCCTCTTGCATTTCATAGGCAGTAGCCTGTAAAGTTTATATGGATAGACACTAGGCTTCAGGCCTCCATTTGCTGTTTTTTTACTGATGGAAAGTCTGTGATCTATGGCATGGAAAGACTTCTGATGGTTTTTGAGAATATAGTAGGTCATGAAAGTTTCAAGGCAGAAAATGCACTGATAGCGCCTTTCTCCCGTGTGCCAAATTTCATGTCTTGTCCTGTACTCCGCCAATGCAAATACTTTGTTGCAGTAATGACAAGGATATGTTCTTCTCCAGGAGTGAACGTTTGCATGTCTTCGGAGGCTGGATAAAGTCACATAACTACGTTTGCATACAACACAACTGTAGAGCATTTGCCCGTTAACAAATTTAACCATGTGGTCCGTTTCTGGCAAGGTACTTCCAGGACCGGAAAATTCACCAATCCTATTTTCAGATAATAGGGGTTCTGGACCTGTGAATGAACTTCCATTCTGTCCAATGGTAGGATAGTTTTCTAGAAAGCGTTGATTTCCCCCAGGAACCGGCATGTGGCTTGACCTCATACAAATCTGCTCGTGCCGATCCAGTCTGTTCAGAGTGCTGAACTGCTTGTTGCAGTATTTGCACACTAACGGCTCCTGGGTCGGCTTGTGAAGCTGCATGTGGGCACTGAGCAAAGTGCTACTGTCAAAGGATTTGGAACAACAGCTGCAATTGTAAACGAGAGGTGGGACCTCCACAGCCGGTGGCCCAGGCATGTCAGAGGACTTATTTTCATCTTCCTTGGAAAAACGGCCATCTCCTTCGTTGTTAGATTTGGAAGGAGGAAGAATTGCAGCTGGCTGTGGACTTCTTTCTTGATTAACCTCTAAGCTGGCTACTGGAGGGGGTGGTGTGTTTTCTGCAGCTGACTCAGAATCCTGGGGTATGGAGACTGTCTTTGGCTTCCGGCATGTTTTCGGCTTTCCTGCAAGAGCTTCACCATTTTCTTTACCTGTCTTAGCAGGGGAACTGCTGTCATGCTCACGTACAGGCGGATTTCTGTAGGCCTCGGCCACGGAAGAAACGGCGTACGAGTGCTCAGCTAGGGTGCGGACGGGCTCTGCCTCGTGGCACACGTCAGTCCTCTCCAGGCAAAGGCTAGTGCTTCTCATGGAGTCGGAGACCTTTTTAAAGCTAGCCCTCAAGTCCAGTGGAGAAAACATGTTATTACTATTTTCTGTTTCGATGATGGAAAATGCATTTGTGATCCTTGGCCCATTGGTGATCGCAGGTTCTTCATGCCTTTTTTCATTTTTTTCTTCTTTAACCACTCCTTTTTCAGTAATGCAAAATACATAGGGACCAGGGGAATTTGAGAAGTTGCGATCAGTAAGATCCTCCAAGAAGGATATTCCTAGCTTCTTTCCTGCAGCTGCAAGATCGGTGACTGTTTCCTGTCTCTTGACGACAACTGTGGAGCTGTAGATATAATTAAGAATTTCTGTAAACACTTCAGCTTTGAGATCATCCAGTTCCAGGACATGGCTGGAGATACAGATTGTATGGCTCCAAAAGATATTTTTGAAATAAAGGCTTGAAGCAGCTAGGACATTGCTGTGGGCTTTAAATTTGGTGTCTTCCACAATAATGGTGACATCACATAAAATGCCCCGAATGCGCTGCTCATTTAAGATGGAGAGAACTGTGTCACTGTGCAAGTCGTCCTTGAGGTCCCTGGAAAGGGACATGACTGTCATCTGAAATAAGAGGAGAGATACGATCAGAAACCCTTCTACAAGTAGTTTCTTTTTCTTTCTTTCTTCTTTTTTTTTTTTTTTTAAATAAGCTCTATGCCCAACATGGGGCTTGAACCCATGTTCCTGAGATCAAGAGTTGCATGCTCTACTGAGTGAGCCTACCAGGCACCCCAACAAGTAGCTTCTTACTTCTAGACAATTTTCAGTGCTTTTGAAACACTTTTTTTTTTTGGTATGAAAATATAGGTTTTTATCTCACTCTGCTGTTACTTGTAAGACTTGGGAGTCAACATTAGAAGCTAAATCTTGACCTCGCCCCAGCTTGTTTCTCATACCATCGCTAATAGTTGTTATAGTTGGAAGTCCTCCCAGAACTCTTTCTCCAAGGCTGTAGCTATATATACATGTCCAAATTTGGGAGGAGGAGGGTTTTCTCCACAAACCTTAAGGGTCTCATCGTCAATCAAGGCTGCTGCATGAACTCCTAGAGATGAGCAATGCTGTGGTCCTGCCACGACCTCCTGTTTCACAGATGATCCTGATGATCTGATCCAAATATCATTTATAAATCAGGAAGATGATTTTTTAAAAAAATCTTTCCCTAAGCAAGCAGAACCTGTATAGAAAGGTACTGCTGCTCAGAGAACAAGCAAGAACTGGAGAAACTATTCCTACTTCGTGGCTCTGAAAGGTCTCCCCATGGAAAGCCTCATTCTGCATAACCAAGTCTGACTCCCTGCGCTACTGGCCCTTACCTCTCTTACCTCATTCTCTGATTTCCCTTTCAGTATAACCAAAGTGCATTAAGATTTCAGAAAAGAACTCTGAGGTACTGAGGGCACACAAATAGAAACAACACACAAAACCAGCAAAGTATGTATCTAAGTCTAGTGTGATCTCCTTCTGGTTTTGATTTGCAGACATCTCTACAAGATCCTGATTCAATGCCTTCGGATACATACCCACAAGTGAGATTGCTGGATCACATAGTAGTTCTATTTCTAATTTCTTGAGGAATCTCCATACTGTTTTTTGTTGTAGCTGTCACCAGTTTACACTCCCACCAATAGTGCACAAGGGTTCCCTTTTCTCCAACCCTTTATCAACACTTGTCATTTCTTTTTGATTTTAGTAATTCTAGCAGGTGTGAGGTGGTATCTCATTGTGGTTTTCACTTGCATTTCCCTGTTGATGAGAGATGCTGAGCATCTTTTCATATGTCTGTTGGCTATCTGTATGCCTTCTTTGGAAAAATGTCTATTCAGGTCCTCTGCCCATTTGTTAATTGGGTTATTTGTGGCTCTGGGATGTTGAGTTGTACAAATTCTTTATATGTTTTGGATATTAACTCCTCACCAAACTATCATTTCCAAGTATCTTCTTCCATTTGGTAGGTTATCATTTTGTTGATGGTTTCCATTGCTGTGCAAAAATCTTTTTAGTTTTATGTAGTCTCAATACTTGATTTTTGCTTTTATTTCCCTTGCCTGAGGAGACAAATCTAGAAAAATGCTTCTATTGCTGAGGTCAAAGAAATTACTGCCTATGATCTCTTCTAGGATTTTTATGGTTTCAGGTCTCACATTTAGATCTTTAATCCAGTTTAAGTTTGATTGATTTGTTTATTTATATATTTATTTTTAAAGATCTTATTTATTCATGAGAGATACAGAAAGAGAGGCAGAGACACAGGCAGAGGGAGAAGCAGGCTCCCTGCAGTGAACCTGATGTGGGACTCTATCCCAGGACCCAGGGGATCATGACCTGAGCCAAAGGCAGGAGCTCAATCACTTAGTCACCCAGGCCCTTGAGCATATTTTTTGTATCTGGTGTAAGAAAGTGGTCTGGTTTCATTCTTTTGCATGCAGCTGTCCAGTTGTCCCAGCACCAGTAATTCCACTATTGGGTATTAACCCAAAGAAAATGAAAACACTCTTTTGAAAAGATATATGCACCCCTATGTTTATGGCAGCATTATTTACAATAGCCAAGGTATGGAAGCAGCCCACATATCCACTGATAGATGAATGGATAAAATAGGTATGTTACATACACACACAGGAATATTACACATAAAAGAGAATGTTGCCACTGAAACAATATGGATGGGCCTATCAACTAATATTATAGTGAGGGATAGAATATTACATAAGAAATACATGGTACATAGGGATCCAAGACACAAAAATGAAAACTTAACCTTACTACATGCAATGTATTCTGTTCTGTTCCATTTTCATTTATTTTTTTAAATTTTTATTTATTTATGATAGTCACACACAGAGAGAGAGAGAGAGAGGCAGAGACATAGGCAGAGGGAGAAGCAGGCTCCATGCACCAGGAGCGCGACGTGGGATTCGATCCCGGGTCTCCAGGATCGCGCCCTGGGTCAAAGGCAGGCGCCAAACTGCTGCACCACCCAGGGATCCCCCATTTTCTTTCATTTAAAAAATGCTAATGGCAACTCACAAATTCACTATACAGATCATTCCTGCAGTTAAAATAAAAAAAAAACCCCTCTGGTCCAAAGGCCATACTAAGCAACTATCATCCAGCTTCTCTATCTTTTATCAAGTGATGTCCAGAAAGCAGCAGAGCTTGAAGAGATCTCTTTAGCTTCCAGTGGCAAGTTCTTCCTAGCATTGGAGTACCACATTTAACTCATGGCATTCATTCAGTTATGGAGAGACCAGATGGCCACAAAATGAATTTCTTTTTACCCTTTTTAAAAGCTATTATAAGTTGTGCCCATTATGTTATTTAGTGTCCTTTGTACTTTAGGATCCATTTGATTGATTCTTTGATCTCATCTAGCCATAGGAAAAAGTACATCACTACTAACAAATTCTTCTATTCCCAAGACAAGGAAGCTTAGAACTAACTGTCATCATCACCTGTTATAACAATGGCTACATTGTTAGCCTGGATTTCTGGTGTAACTATTGTCTCATTTCCTTTATTTAATATTAGTTTTTCTACTCTTGTTTACTCTGCCTTTAATTATAACTGTCCATGAATCTTTTCTAGAAGTGTAAAGGATTATGTCTATGAATAAAAATGGAATTAAATGAACCAGAATCCATGGCTTCTTGTACGGCCCTGAGGAGAGGGGACCACCTCTGAACAGACAGTGGGAATCTGTCCTTCATTGGTTATAGATCAACAACATATTTTGCTGATGATTCTTTTGCCTCCCTTGGGGTCTCTGCTGTGGGCCTCTATAGAATCTACTTTCTCTCCCGACTTAATTTATTCTCATCCTTTTTGGCTTTTCTGAAGCCCATACATTATTTCTTTATCCAGCCTGACTGGGTAGTCTCAGATTTGGTAAAGCACATACCATGGTTTTATTTTATTTTATTTTATTTTTATGATAGTCACAGAGAGAGAGAGAGAGAGAGAGAGAGAGAGAGAGAGAGAGGCAGAGACACAGGCAGAGGGAGAAGCAGGCTCCATGCACCAGGAGCCCGACGTGGGATTTGATCCCAGGTCTCCGGGATCGCTCCCTGGGCCAAAGGCAGGCGCCAAACCGCTGCGCCACCCAGGTATCCCCCATACCATGGTTTTAAAAGCTGGTTTCCATCTTGGTTTAGTTCCATGCTGACATCTATTTTGTCCTTCCACCTCAAAACTATTGCTTCTTCCAAAACACCCCACAGCACTCTGAAACTCCCAGTAGGCCCCACTTCCACCTGGGGAATACGGTATTTCACATCAAACTAATACTCCCAAGGTATTAAATGATAAGCCCCATTTACTTCTATAGGATTTTATGATTCTTCTCTTAGATTGTTCAGTTAAGGTGGTTAGTAAAAGGCTGTTAATATTTAAGAGTATCTTAATCATACAATTAGAATAACACATATAATAGAAAGTATCATTATATATATCATTAATACAACCTCCTAATTTCAGAATATCCAAGTATGACTTGTTCAAAAGGGGGACTATCTACCATTGTGTGGCAGAAATACTTTTAAAATCATAGTAACTATGATTTCTGCCACACAAATACTTTTAAAATCATAGTTACTATACAGCACTTCGATTTGCTTTCTTGGCACATAAATAAGAACTTCATTCTTGTGTCATTTTTACCCAACACATACGTTAATGCCTAACATGGTCACAGGGCTCAGAGCAGAAGATACTGAAGAATGTGAGGCACCTGTTTGTCCTCAAGGGGCTTAGAGTGTAGGGGAAGAAAGAGAACTGTCGACTAATAATTGGAATCAATGATGACAGGCCTTATGTTAAAAAAGTATGTACAAAGTGTTAAAGGATGAAATGCCAACTTATTATTTATAGAGGCCCTGATCAATCAATAAGTAAAACATGGATATGGGAAAGGCATTCTTTTTTTTTTTAAAGATTTTATTTATTTATTCATGAGAGACACAGAGAGAGAGGCAGAGACATAGGCAGAGGGAGAAGCAGGCTCCATGCAGGGAGCCTGATGTGGGACTCGATCCCAGGACTCCAGGATCATGCCCTGAGCCAAAGGCAGATGCTCAATGCCACCCAGGCATCCCTGGGAAAGGCATTCTAAGCAGAAGGAGCACCATGGGCAAAACAAACAAAAAATGTTAAAAAAAAAAAAAAAAGGTGGGTGTACTGCACTCAGGGACTGATAAGTGGGTCTGTGTGATGGTAGGAGAGGGTGTGCACACTGCTGTGTCCCTAGTGTCCTCAGCAGTGCCAGGCACATGGCAGGCCTCAACACTCTTTCTACTGAATGACCTGGGCGAAGAAAGGAAGGGTCAGACCAGATCATAAAGGACCTAAAGTACTCCTAACAGTAAATTTTATATTGCAGGTAAGAGGGAACCACTGAAAGTCATAACCATATTTCAGTTGAAAACAAACAAACACCCAATCACTCAGGCTGCAGTGTGTTGAAAGGATCAGAGGGAGGGGCAAGCTGGCTGTAAAAGACCAGTAGTTTGGCCATCTGTGGTCCATCTGTGGTCCAGCAGAGAAGTTGCCCATCCACCCAAATG